TCAAATAAGGGTTGTGTTTCGTGTAGTCTTACCCTGGCGTGACGTTTAGATAACCATGTAAATCTCTCTTGGACAAGGTGACTTTTATCAATATATTCGGCTCTATTTTCTCTCAGATTCTAAAATGCTAATTAGCATCAAAGTAGACATCATGCAGAACTACAAATCCCTGCAAGCTCCTGCACGTCATCTCTAGCTGACACCTTTGCTAACAGGTATTGTGTCAATTTAAAACTTGCACAAGACAGTTCACAGAATTGTCCACTGAAGAAATGTAGCCAATTTATTCATTACTACATTTAGCTAACATTAGATAGTTAATCCAGAGATTCTTACCTTTGCCTTGATTCGGCAGTCTCATCCAGATCATCATGGCATTTGTAGTTCTTTATGATTGCCACATTAGCAGCTAATTAGCATTTCATTTTGGGTGGGGGTAAATACAGGCTAATATATCGATGAAAGTCACCTTGTCCGAGAGAGATTTACATGGTTATCAAAACGTCACGCCAAGGTAAAATTAATGGTGGAAAAAGGATTGGAACCATTTCCTTGTTTGACCACTAGGTTTAATGGGTATTATGACTCATGCTGTGGTAATAACTCTATAAGCCCTCCATGGAATGAGTTTGACACCCCTGGCCTAGGCCAATATGAACAAAGATGTCGGCAAATTCTCTGAAGAGCCAAAAATAAATCTGATATTTCTCGATCCTATTTCGACAGGTTCCACATCAAAATATCAATCATTCATTTCCTGAATATGTTAGATGAAATAGCTTACTTTTTGAATCATAGGCTACCATCGCAGTTGTATTACTTGGTTGTATATTGTCTAGAGCCCTGCTGCTAATGGGCGGCAGGTATCCTAGCGGTTAGAGACGTCAAGGTCAAAAGGTCAAAAATCTGTCTGTGTCCTTGATTGAGGCACTTAACCCTAATTTGTTCCAGGGGGCGCCGTACTACTATGGCTGACCCTGTAAAACAACACATTACACTGGACCTATCATACTACTATGGCTGACCCTGTAAAACAACACATTACACTGCACCTATCATACTACTATGGCTGACCCTGTAAAACAACACATTACACTGGACCTATCATACTACTATGGCTGACCCTGTAAAACAACACATTACACTGGACCTATCATACTACTATGGCTGACCCTGTAAAACAACACATTACACTGCACCTATCATACTACTATGGCTGACCCTGTAAAACAACACATTACACTGGACCTATCATACTACTATGGCTGACCCTGTAGAACAACACATTACACTGGACCTATCATACTACTATGGCTGACCCTGTAAAACAACACATTACACTGCACCTATCATACTACTATGGCTGACCCTGTAGAACAACACATTACACTGGACCTATCATACTACTATGGCTGACCCTGTAGAACAACACATTACACTGCACCTATCATACTACTATGGCTGACCCTGTAAAACAACACATTACACTGGACCTATCATACTACTATGGCTGACCCTGTAAAACAACACATTACACTGGACCTATCATACTACTATGGCTGACCCTGTAAAACAACACATTACACTGGACCTATCATACTACTATGGCTGACCCTGTAAAACAACACATTACACTGGACCTATCATACTACTATGGCTGACCCTGTAAAACAACACATTACACTGGACCTATCATACTACTATGGCTGACCCTGTAAAACAACACATTACACTGGACCTATCATACTACTATGGCTGACCCTGTAAAACAACACATTACACTGCACCTATCATACTACTATGGCTGACCCTGTAAAACAACACATTACACTGCACCTATCATACTACTATGGCTGACCCTGTAAAACAACACATTACACTGCACCTATCATACTACTATGGCTGACCCTGTAAAACAACACATTACACTGCACCTATCATACTACTATGGCTGACCCTGTAAAACAACACATTACACTGGACCTATCATACTACTATGGCTGACCCTGTAAAACAACACATTACACTGGACCTATCATACTACTATGGCTGACCCTGTAAAACAACACATTACACTGCACCTATCATACTACTATGGCTGACCCTGTAAAACAACACATTACACTGCACCTATCATACTACTATGGCTGACCCTGTAAAACAACACATTACACTGGACCTATCATACTACTATGGCTGACCCTGTAAAACAACACATTACACTGCACCTATCATACTACTATGGCTGACCCTGTAAAACAACACATTACACTGGACCTATCATACTACTATGGCTGACCCTGTAAAACAACACATTACACTGCACCTATCATACTACTATGGCTGACCCTGTAAACAACACATTACACTGGACCTATCATACTACTATGGCTGACCCTGTAGAACAACACATTACACTGCACCTATCATACTACTATGGCTGACCCTGTAAAACAACACATTACACTGGACCTATCATACTACTATGGCTGACCCTGTAAAACAACACATTACACTGGACCTATCATACTACTATGGCTGACCCTGTAAAACAACACATTACACTGGACCTATCATACTACTATGGCTGACCCTGTAAAACAACACATTACACTGGACCTATCATACTACTATGGCTGACCCTGTAGAACAACACATTACACTGGACCTATCATACTACTATGGCTGACCCTGTAAAACACATTACACTGCACCTATCATACTACTATGGCTGACCCTGTAAAACAACACATTACACTGCACCTATCATACTACTATGGCTGACCCTGTAAAACAACACATTACACTGCACCTATCATACTACTATGGCTGACCCTGTAGAACAACACATTACACTGGACCTATCATACTACTATGGCTGACCCTGTAAAACAACACATTACACTGGACCTATCATACTACTATGGCTGACCCTGTAAAACAACACATTACACTGCACCTATCATACTACTATGGCTGACCCTGTAAAACAACACATTACACTGCACCTATCATACTACAATGGCTGACCCTGTAAAACAACACATTACACTGGACCTATCATACTACTATGGCTGACCCTGTAAAACAACACATTACACTGCACCTATCATACTACTATGGCTGACCCTGTAAAACAACACATTACACTGCACCTATCATACTACTATGGCTGACCCTGTAAAACAACACATTACACTGCACCTATCATACTACTATGGCTGACCCTGTAAAACAACACATTACACTGGACCTATCATACTACTATGGCTGACCCTGTAGAACAACACATTACACTGGACCTATCATACTACTATGGCTGACCCTGTAGAACAACACATTACACTGCACCTATCATACTACTATGGCTGACCCTGTAAAACAACACATTACACTGGACCTATCATACTACTATGGCTGACCCTGTAAAACAACACATTACACTGGACCTATCATACTACTATGGCTGACCCTGTAAAACAACAAATGTCCATTAAAACAGTTGTATTTGTTGTTATTGAGTAAAATATTTACATTTTATAGCGATATTACTTTTTGTCCATATCGCCTCCCCCAAAAAATAATTTATCGCTGATTTGTCGTTAGCGTTAAAAATGGGTCCATTTATCATGATATAGATTTTAGTCCATATCACTCCGCTCTAATAGAGACACAGACATTGCTTACCCACAGGTACACGGCTCTTTCATTGGTTGCCAGTTAGAGAAGAGATTGTTGTCATGCCAATGAAATTCATTGACGAGGTTCATGTTTGTGTTTCCTCATTGATTTGAACCGTTATATATTGTATATGAATGTGTCTGTTTGTCCCTGTATTGCCCTGTAGGTGGCAGACATGCTCCTGGAGCTGTGTGTGACCGAGTTAGAAGACGTTGCCACCGACTCTCAGAGCGGTCGTCTGTCCTCTCAACCGGTAGTGGTGGAGAGCAGCCATCCCTATACCGACGACACCTCCACCAGCGGCACCGTCAAGATACCAGGTAACTATACCGACGACACCTCCACCAGCGGCACCGTCAAGATACCAGGTAACTATACCGACGACACCTCCACCAGCGGCACCGTCAAGATACCAGGTAACTATACTGACGACACCTCCACCAGCGGCACCGTCAAGATACCAGGTAACTATACTGACGACACCTCCACCAGCGGCACCGTCAAGATACCAGGTAACTAATAAACGTTTTAAATACAAATACAATGCACTGGCAGACGGGATGCTTTTTGCCCCTACCAATATGGCTGAAATTAACAGATAGCTGATGCTTTGTGACCCTACCAATATGGCTAAAATTAACAGACATTTATTTTGTGGCAAAAAAACAAAAACAATCTTGATCTCTGTGTGTTGGAGACAGAGGGACTGAGGGTGGAGTCTCTGTGTGTTGGAGACAGAGGGACTGAGGGTGGAGTCTCTGTGTGTTGGAGACAGAGGGACTGAGGGTGGAGTCTCTGTGTGTTGGAGACAGAGGGACTGAGGGTGGAGTCTCTGTGTTGGAGACAGAGGGACTGAGGGTGGAGTCTCTGTGTGTTGGAGACAGAGGGACTGAGGGTGGAGTCTCTGTGTGTTGGAGACAGAGGGACTGAGGGTGGAGTCTCTGTGTGTTGGAGACAGAGGGACTGAGGGTGGAGTCTCTGTGTGTTGTAGACAGAGGGACTGAGGGTGGAGTCTCTGTGTGTTGGAGACAGAGGGACTGAGGGTGGAGTCTCTGTGTGTTGGAGACAGAGGACTGAGGGTGGAGTCTCTGTGTGTTGGAGACAGAGGGACTGAGGGTGGAGTCTCTGTGTGTTGTAGACAGAGGGACTGAGGGTGGAGTCTCTGTGTGTTGGGGACTGAGGGACTGAGGGTGGAGTCTCTGTGTGTTGGAGACTGAGGGACTGAGGGTGGAGTCTCTGTGTGTTGGAGACTGAGGGACTGAGGGTGGAGTCTCTGTGTGTTGGAGACTGAGGGACTGAGGGTGGAGTCTCTGTGTGTTGGAGACAGAGGGACTGAGGGTGGAGTCTCTGTGTGTTGGAGACAGAGGGACTGAGGGTGGAGTCTCTGTGTGTTGGAGACAGAGGGACTGAGGGTGGAGTCTCTGTGTGTTGGAGACAGAGGGACTGAGGGTGGAGTCTCTGTGTGTTGGAGACAGAGGGACTGAGGGTGGAGTCTCTGTGTGTTGGAGACAGAGGGACTGAGGGTGGAGTCTCTGTGTGTTCTAGGTGCGGAGGGACTGAGGGTGGAGTTTGACCGCCAGTGTTCTGCAGAGAGACGACATGACCCTCTCACCATCATGGACGGAGCCAATAGGATCATCTCTGTCCGATCAGGTGACCACAAGACACAACCCGAGCCTCCCAACACTTCATTTGATATTAAAAGACAGTTCAGTTTCTGACAGTTGTCTTCATTGTCTCGGTCTCCCCTCCCCCCTGTCTTTCTCAGGTCGTGAGTGGTCTGACTGGTCCAGTGAGTTGAGGATCCCAGGTGATGAGCTGAAGTGGAAGTTTACCAGCGATGGATCTGTCAACGGATGGGGCTGGCGCTTCACAGTCTACCCTATCATGCCTGCTGCTGGTATGTCTCACACACACTGCCGCTCCACCACACACTGCCGCTCCACCACACACTGCCGCTCCACCTCACACTGCCGCTCCACCTCACACTGCCGCTCCACCACACTGCCGCTCCACCACACACTGCCGCTCCACCACTCACTGCCGCTCCACCTCACACTGCCGCTCCACCACCATGCCGCTCCACCACCATGCCGCTCCACCTCACACTGCCGCTCCACCACCATGCCGCTCCACCACCATGCCGCTCCACCTCACACTGCCGCTCCACCTCACACTGCCGCTCCACCTCACACAGCCGCTCCACCTCACACTGCCGCTCCACCACACTGCCGCTCCACCACACACTGCCGCTCCACCACCATGCCGCTCCACCACACACTGCCGCTCCACCACACACTGCCGCTCCACCACCATGCCGCTCCACCACACACTGCCACTCCACCACTCACTGCCGCTCCACCACACACTGCCGCTCCACACACACTCACTGCCCGCTCCAACCACCACACTGCCGCCTCCCACCACACCACTGCCGCCCACACTCACACTGCCGCTCCACCACACTGCCGCTCCACCACACACTGCCGCTCCACCACACCCACCACTGCCGCTCCACCACACTGCCTCATGCACACGCTCCACCTCACACTGCCGCTCCACCAACCATGCCGCTCCAGCTCCACCATGCCGCTCCCCACACTCACACTGCCGCTCCACCACCATGCCGCTCCACACCCTCACACTGCCGCTCCACCTCACACTGCCGCTCCACCTCACACATGCCGCTCCACCCATCCACCACTGCCGCTCCACCACACTGCCGCTCCACCACTCACTGCCGCTCCACCACACACTGCCGCTCCCACCCACACATGGCTCCACCACATGCCTCCACCACACACTGCGCTCCCACCACCACACTGCCGCTCCACCACCATGCCGCTCCACCACCACACTGCCCTCCACCCTCACACTGCCGCTCCACCACACACTGCCGCTCCACCTCACACTGCCGCTCCACCCACTGCGTCCCACACCACGCCACTGCCACACCATGCCTCCACCACACATGCCGCTCCACCACAACACTGCCGCTCCACCACCATGGCCAAGCTCCACCACATCCACTCACATGCCGCTCCACCACACACTGCCGCTACCACCACCAATGCCGTCTCACACCACACACTGCCCTCCACCACTCACTGCCGCTCCACCACACACTGCCGCTCCACTCACACTGCCGCTCCACCACACACTGCCGCTCCACCACACACTGCCGCTCCACCACACACTGCCGCTCCACCTCACACTGCCGCTCCACCACACACTGCCGCTCCACCTCACACTGCCGCTCCACCTCACACTGCCGCTCCACCTCACACTGCCACTCCACCACACACTCACACACACATGCCCTGACGTAGTCTGTAGTAAGTTGTTCATGTCCTGTACAACTGACTGTCTCTGCCCCCCAGGCCCCAAAGACCTTCTGTCTGACCGCTGCATCCTGTCCTCTCCCTCCATGGACCTGGTGACCTGCCTGCTGGACTTCAGGCTCAACTTAGCCTCCAACAGGAGTATCGTACCCCGCCTGGCAGCCTCCCTGGCTGCCTGCGCCCAGCTCAGTGCCCTGGGTACGAAGACCACGTCACACCTCTCAGTGCCCTATTACCTACAGTGCATAGGGAAAGTATTCAGACCCCTCGACTTTTTCCAGATGTTACGTTACAGCCTTATTCTAAAATTGATTAAATTGTTTTTTGTCCCTCAATCTACACACAATACCCCATAATGACAAAGCAAAAACAGGTTTTTATAAATGTTTTTTACATTTACATAAGTATTCAGACCCTTTACTCAGTACTTTGTTGAAGCACCTTTGGCAGCGATTACAGCCTTGAGCGCTACAAGTTTGGCACACCTGTATTTGGGGAGTTTCTCACATTCTTCTCTGCAGATCCTCTCAAGCGCTGTCAGGATGGATGGGGAGCGTCGCTGCACAGCTATTTTCAGGTCTCTCAAGAGATGTTCGATCGGGTTCAAGTCCGGGCTCTGGCTGGGCCACTCAAGGACATTGACACTTGTCCCAAAGCCAATCCTGCGTTGTCTTGGCTGTGTGGTTAGGGTCGTGGTCCTGTTTGAAGGTGAACCTTCACCCCAGTCTGAGGTCCACCCTAGGGATTGTTCCAGGTTCCCTCCAGACGTGACGCTTGGCATTCAGGCCAAAGAGTTCAATCTTGGTTTCATCAGACCAGAGAATCTTGTTTCTCATGGTCTGAGAGTCCTTTAGGTGCCTTTTGGCGAACTCCAAGCGGGCTGTCATGTGCCTTTTACTGAGGAGTGGCTTCCGTCTGGTCACTCTACCATAAAGGCCTGATTGGTGGAGTGCTGCAGAGATGGTGGTCCTTCTGGAAGGTTCTCCCATCTCCACAGAGGAACTCTGGAGCTCTGTCAAAGTGACCATCAGGTTCTTGGTCACCTCCCTGACCAAGGCCCTTCTCCCCCGATTGCTCAGTTTGGCCGGGCGGCCAGCTCTAGGAAGAGTCTTGGTGGTTCCAAACTTCTTACATTTAAGAATGATGGAGGCCACTGTGTTCTTGGGGACCTTCAATGCTGCAGAATTGTTTTAGTACCCTTCCCTCGACACAATCCTGTCTCGGAGCTCTACGGACAATTCCTTCAACCTCATGGCTTGGTTTCTGCTCTGACATGCACTGTCAACTGTGGGACCTTATATAGACAGGTGTGTGCCTTTCCAAAAAGGAAACCTGGCACCATCCCTACGTGAAGCATGGTGGTGGCAGCATCATGCTGTGGGGATGTTTTTCAGCGGCAGGGACTGGGAGACTAGTCAGGATCGAGGGAAAGATGAACGGAGCAAAGTAAAGAGAGATCCTTGATGAAAACCTGCTCCAGAGCGCTCAGGACCTCAGACTGGGGCAAAGGTTCACCTTCCAACAGGACAACGACCCTAAGCACACAGCCAAGACAACGCAGGAGTGTCTTCGGGACAAGTCTCTGAATGTCCTTGAGTGGCCCAGCCAGAGCTCGGACTTGAACCCAATCTAACATCTCTGGAGAGACCTGAAAATAGCTGTGCAGCGACGCTCCCCATCCAACCTGACAGAGCTTGAGAGGATCTGCAGAGAAGAATGGGAGAAACTCTCCAAATACTGGTGTGCCAAGCTTGTAGCGTCATACCCAAGAAGACTCAAGGTTGTAATCGCTGCCAAAGGTACTTCAACAAAGTACTGAGTAAAGGGCCTGAATACTTATGTAAATGTAATATTTCCATTTCTTTTATTTTTAATACATTTACAAAAATGTCTAAAAACCTGTTTTTGCTTTGTCATTTTGGGGTATTGTGTGTAGATTGAGGGACAAAAAAAACAATTTTAATCAATTTTAGAATAAGGCTGTAACGTAACAAAATGTGGAAAAAATCAAGGGGTCTGAATACTTTCCGAATGCACTGTCTCCTCTGTTTCATTGGATAGTACTGACCCGGTCTCCTCTGTTTCATTGTATAGTACTGACCCGGTCTCCTCTGTTTCATTGGATAGTACTGACCCGGTCTCCTCTGTTTCATTGGATAGTACTGACCCGGTCTCCTCTGTTTCATTGTATAGTACTGACCCGGTCTCCTCTGTTTCATTGTATAGTACTGACCCGGTCTCCTCTGTACTGATTAGCATGTATTATTTGTCTTGTAGCAGCAGGACATCGTATGTGGGCTCTTCAGAGGCTCCGTAAGCTGCTGACCACAGAGTATGGCCAGTCCATCAACATCACCAGGCTGCTTGGGGACAGCGAAGGAGAGGCTCGCTCCATGAGTTTTACAGGCAGTGCGCTGGCTGCCCTGGTGAAGGGTCTTCCTGAGGCTCTCCAGAGGCAGTATGAATACGAGGACCCCATAGTCAGGGGAGGAAAACAGCTTCTGCACAGCCCCTTCTTCAAGGTAGAGTACAGCCCCTTCTTCAAGGTAGAGTACAGCCCCTTCTTCAAGGTAGAGCACAGCCCCTTCTTCAAGGTAGAGCACAGCCCCTTCTTCAAGGTAGAGTGGGTGTGGGGGGAGGGGGGGTGTTGGACCTGGTGTTTTAACTGACTGTTACCTTCAGAGGGGAAGTTGTAATCAGTGTGTGTTTACCATTCTAGATGTAGTTTCTATTTGCGGTTAGATGTCATTTTGAATCAGTCTGTTTGTTTTAGGTGCTGGTGGCTCTAGCCTGTGATCTGGAGTTGGACATCCTACCCTGCTGTGCTGAGACACATAAGTGGGCGTGGTTCCGCCGGTACTGCACTGCCTCCAGAGTGGCTGTCGCTCTGGACAAGAGGACTCCTCAGCCACGCCCCTTCCTGGATGAGGTGGGTTGGGCAAGACAGGCCATCATTACAACTGTTCATATACACTATTTATACAGCAGTATGTGGACACCCCTTCATCACATTTCTGCCCTGCTAGAGGTGCCCCCCGGTCAACTGTAAGTGCTGTTATTGTGAAGTGGAAATGTCTAGGAGCAACAACGGCTCAGCCGCGAAGTGGTAGGCCACACAAGCTCACAGAACGGGACCGCCGAGTGCTGAAGAGCGTAGCGTGTAAAAAATGGTCTGTCTTCGGTTGCAACACTCACTACCGAGTTCCAAACTCTGGAAGCAACGTCAGCACAAGAACTGTTCGTCTGGAGTTTCATGAAATGGGTTTCCATGGCCAAGCAGCCGCACACAATCCCTAAGATCACCATGCGCAAGGCCAAGCGTCGGCTGGAGTGGTATAAAGCTTGCCTCCATTGGACTCTGGAGCAGTGGAAACGCGTTCTCTGGAGTGATGATTCGTCCGATGGACGAATCTGGGTTTGGCGAGTGCCAGGCGAACGCTTCCTGCCCGAATGCATTGTGCCAACTGTAACTTTTGGTGGAGGAGGAATAATGGTCTGGGGCTGTTTTTCATGGTTCGGGCTAGGCCCCTTAGTTCCAGTGAAAGGAAATCTTAACGCTACAGCATTCAATGACATTCTAGACGATTCTGTGCTTCCAACTTTGTGGCAAAGGTTTGGGGAAGGCCCTTTCCTCTTTCAGCATGACAATGCCCCTGTGCACAAATAGAGGTCCATGCAGAAATGGTTTGTCGGGATCGGTGTGGAAGAACATGACTGGCCTGCACAGAGCCCTGACCTCAACCCCATCGAACACCTTTGGGATGAATTGGAACGCGGACTGCGAGCCAGGCCTAATCGCCCAACATCAGTGACCGACCTCACTAATGCTCTTGTGGCTGAATGGAAGCAAGTCCCCTCAGCAATGTTCCAACATCTAGTGGAAAGCCTTCCCAGAAGAGTGGAGGCTGTTATAGCAGCAAAGGGGGGACCAACTCCATATTAATGCCCATGATGTTGGATTGAGATGTTGGACCAGCAGGTGTCCACATACTTTTGGTCATGTAGTGTATCATCACTCTTTGATCCAACCAGTCAATAGAGGTCAATCACTTTTCCTTTCCTTCAAATGACCACAATGGAAATAAGTTGTTCAATTTATTGGTGTTATCCTCAATGATTTTAAATGCAGTGTATCCCCCCCAAAAACATCTAATACATTATCTTTCAACCACTACCCCTCTGTAGGAAGATCTGGACATTATCTCTAACCACTATACCCCTCTGTAGGAAGATCTGGACATTATCTCTAACCACTCTACCCCTCTGTAGGAAGATCTGGACATTATCTCTAACCACTATACCCCTCTGTAGGAAGATCTGGACATTATCTCTAACCACTATACCCCTCTGTAGGAAGATCTGGACATTATCTCTAACCACTATACCCCTCTGTAGGAAGATCTGGACATTATCTCTAACCACTATACCCCTCTGTAGGAAGATCTGGACATTATCTCTAACCACTCTACCCCTCTGTAGGAAGATCTGGACATTATCTCTAACCACTATACCCCTCTGTAGGAAGATCTGGACATTATCTCTAACCACTCTACCCCTCTGTAGGAAGATCTGGACATTATCTCTAACCACTATACCCCTCTGTAGGAAGATCTGGACATTATCTCTAACCACTCTACCCCTCTGTAGGAAGATCTGGACATGATCTTTAACCACTATACCCCTCTGTAGGAAGATCTGGACATTATCTCTAACCACTCTACCCCTCTGTAGGAAGATCTGGACATTATCTCTAACCACTATACCCCTCTGTAGGAAGATCTGGACATTATCTCTAACCACTATACCCCTCTGTAGGAAGATCTGGACATTATCTCTAACCACTATACCCCTCTGTAGGTGACTAAGAAGATCTGTGAGTTGATGGCTGACTGTGAGGTGATGAATGTCCTCCATGAGAGCCACGACCTGTTTAAGCGGGAACAGGACGAACAGCTGGTCCAGTGGATGAACAGGAGACCTGACGACTGGACACTGTCTGCAGGGGGTTCCGGGACCATCTACGGCTGGGGTCACAACCACCGGGGACAGCTGGGGGGCATTGAGGGGGCAAAGGTCAAGGTCCCCACCCCCACAGAGGCCCTAGCGACTCTGAGGCCTGTTCAGCTGATAGGAGGGGAGCAAACCCTGTTTGCTGTCACTGCTGACGGAAAGGTAAAGACCAGTAGAGACCTGGTAGAGTCCCGTAGACACCTGGTAGAGACCTGGTAGAGTTCAGGAAGAGACCTGGTATAGACCAGTATAGACCTAGTAGAGTTCCGTAGACACCTGGTAGAGACCTGGTAGATACCGGTAGAGTCCTAGTAGAGTTCAGGAAGAGACCTAGTAGAGTTCAGGAAGAGACCTGGTAGAGTCCTAGTAGAGTCTGGTAGAGACCTAGTAGAGACCGGTAGAGACCAGGAAGAGGCCTGGTAGAGTTCAGGAAGAGACCTAGTAGAGTTCAGGAAGAGACCTAGTAGAGTTCAGGAAGAGACCTAGTAGAGTTCAGGAAGAGAACTAGTAGAGTTCAGGAAGAGAACTAGTAGAGTTCAGGAAGAGACCTAGTAGAGACCTAGTAGAGTTCAGGAAGAGACCTAGTAGAGTTCAGGAAGAGACCTAGTAGAGTTCAGGAAGAGACCTAGTAGAGACCGGTAGAGACCAGGAAGAGGCCTGGTAGAGTTCAGGAAGAGACCTAGTAGAGTTCAGGAAGAGACCTAGTAGAGTTCAGGAAGAGACCTAGTAGAGACCTAGTAGAGTTCAGGAAGAGACCTAGTAGAGTTCAGGAAGAGACCTAGTAGAGTTCAGGAAGAGACCTAGTAGAGACCTAGTAGAGTTCAGGAAGAGAACTAGTAGAGTTCAGGAAGAGACCTAGTAGAGTTCAGGAAGAGACCTAGTAGAGACCGGTAGAGACCAGGAAGAGGCCTGGTAGAGTCCGGAAGAGTCCTAGTAGAGTTCAGGAAGAGACCTAGTAGAGTTCAGGAAGAGACCTAGTAGAGTTCAGGAGGAGACCTGGTAGAGTCCGGTAGAGACCTAGTAGAGTTCAGGAATTGACCTAGTAGAGTTCAGGAAGAGACCTGGTAGAGTCCGGTAGAGACCTAGTAGAGTTCAGGAAGAGACCTGGTAGAGTTCAGGAAGAGACCTGGTAGAGACCTAGTAGAGTTCAGGAAGAGACATGGTAGAGTCCGGTAGAGACCTAGTAGAGACCAGGAAGAGGCCTGGTAGAGTCCGGAAGAGTCCTAGTAGAGTTCAGGAAGAGACCTAGGAGAGTTCAGGAAGAGACCTGGTAGAGTTCAGGAAGAGACCTAGGAGAGTTCAGGAAGAGACCTAGGAGAGTTCAGGAAGAGAACTAGTAGAGTTCAGGAAGAGACCTAGTAGAGTTCAGGAAGAGACCTAGTAGAGTTCAGGAGGAGACCTAGTAGAGTTCAGGAAGAGACCTGGTAGAGTCTGGTAGAGTTCAGGAAGAGAACTAGTAGAGTTCAGGAAGAGACAGAGTAGAGTCCAGTAGAGTTCAGGAAGAGACCTGGTAGAGTTCAGGAAGAGACCTAGTAGAGTTCAGGAAGAGACCTGGTAGAGTTCAGGAAGAGACCTAGTAGAGTTCAGGAAGAGACCTGGTAGAGTTCAGGAAGAGACCTGGTAGAGTTCAGGAAGAGTCCTAGTAGAGTTCAGGAGGAGACCTGGTAGAGTTCAGGAAGAGACCTGGTAGAGTTCAGGAAGAGTCCTAGTAGAGTTCAGGAAGAGACCTAGGAGAGTTCAGGAAGAGACCTAGTAGAGTTCAGGAAGAGAACTAGTAGAGTTCAGGAAGAGACAGAGTAGAGTCCAGTAGAGTTCAGGAAGAGACCTGGTAGAGTTCAGGAAGAGACCTAGTAGAGTTCAGGAAGAGACCTGGTAGAGTTCAGGAAGAGACCTGGTAGAGTTCAGGAAGAGACCTGGTAGAGTCTGGTAGAGTTCAGGAAGAGAACTAGTAGAGTTCAGGAAGAGACCGAGTAGAGTTCAGGAAGAGACCTAGTAGAGTTCAGGAAGAGACCTAGTAGAGTTCAGGAAGAGACCTAGTAGAGTTCAGGAAGAGACCTAGCAGAGTTCAGGAAGAGACCTGGTAGAGTTCAGGAAGAGTCCTAGTAGAGTTCAGGAGGAGACCTGGTAGAGTTCAGGAAGAGTCCTAGTAGAGTTCAGGAAGAGTCCTAGTAGAGTTCAGGAAGAGACCTAGGAGAGTTCAGGAAGAGACCTAGTAGAGTTCAGGAAGAGAACTAGTAGAGTTCAGGAAGAGACCGAGTAGAGTCCAGTAGAGTTCAGGAAGAGACCTGGTAGAGTTCAGGAAGAGACCTAGTAGAGTTCAGGAAGAGACCTGGTAGAGTTCAGGAAGAGACCTGGTAGAGTTCAGGAAGAGACCTAGTAGAGTTCAGGAAGAGACCTGGTAGAGTTCAGGAAGAGACCTGGTAGAGTTCAGGAAGAGACCTAGTAGAGACCAGGAAGAGGCCTGGTAGAGTCCTAGTAGAGACCTAGTAGAGTTCAGGAAGAGACCTAGTAGAGTTCAGGAAGAGACCTGGTAGAGTTCAGGAAGAGACCTGGTAGAGTTCAGGAAGATAACTAGTAGAGTTCAGGAAGAGACCGAGTAGAGTCCAGTAGAGTTCAGGAAGAGACCTGGTAGAGTTCAGGAAGAGTCCTAGTAGAGTTCAGGAAGAGTCCTAGTAGAGTTCAGGAAGAGACCTGGTAGAGTTCAGGAAGAGTCCTAGTAGGCTACAGTATGTGACTGTTGTCTGTCTTCCTCCAGCTGTATGCTACCGGTTACGGTGCGGGGGGCCGGCTGGGTATTGGAGGAACAGAGTCTGTGTCCACCCCCACTCTGTTGGAGTCCATCCAGCATGTATTCATCAGGAAGGTGGCAGTGAACAGCGGAGGGAAACACTGCCTAGCCCTGTCCTCTGAGGGAGAGGTCTACTCCTGGGGAGAGGCTGAGGACGGAAAACTGGGACACGGCAACAGGAGGTTAGGATGGGCATGACGTCCATACACCACACTATGTTATATACACTATGCACACTATATATAGAATCTAATCAAATGTATTTATAAAGCCCTTTTTACATCAGTAGCTTATATAGAAACCCAGACTAAAACCCCAAACAGTAGCATTGCAGATGTAGAAGCACGGTGGCTAGGAAAACTCCCTAGAAAGGGGGGAACCTAGGAAGAAACCTAGAGAGGAACCAGGCTCTGAGGGGTGGCCAGTCCTCTACTGGCTGTGCTGAGGGGAGAGGAACCAGGCTCTGAGGGGTGGCCAGTCCCCTTCTGGCTGTGCTGAGGGGAGAGGAACCAGGCTCTGAGGGGTGGCCAGTCCTCTTCTGGCTGTGCTGGGTAGAGAGGAACCAGGCTCTGAGGGGTGGCCAGTCCTCTTCTGGCTGTGCTGAGGGGAGAGGAACCAGGCTCTGAGGGGTGGCCAGTCCCCTTCTGGCTGTGCTGAGGGGAGAGGAACCAGGCTCTGAGGGGTGGCCAGTCCTCTTCTGGCTGTGCTGAGGGGAGAGGAACCAGGCTCTGAGGGGTGGCCAGTCCCCTTCTGGCTGTGCTGAGGGGAGAGGAACCAGGCTCTGAGGGGTGGCCAGTCCCCTTCTGGCTGTGCTGGGTAGAGAGGAACCAGGCTCTGAGGGGTGGCCAGTCCTCTACTGGCTGTACTGGGTAGAGAGGAACCAGGCTCTGAGGGGTGGCCAGTCCTCTACTGGCTGTACTGGGTAGAGAGGAACCAGGCTCTGAGGGGTGGCCAGTCCCCTTCTGGCTGTGCTGGGTAGAGAGGAACCAGGCTCTGAGGGGTGGCCAGTCCTCTTCTGGCTGTGCTGAGGGGAGAGGAACCAGGCTCTGAGGGGTGGCCAGTCCTCTACTGGCTGTACTGGGTAGAGAGGAACCAGGCTCTGAGGGGTGGCCAGTCCTCTACTGGCTGTACTGGGTAGAGAGGAACCAGGCTCTGAGGGGTGGCCAGTCCCCTTCTGGCTGTGCTGAGGGGAGAGGAACCAGGCTCTGAGGGGTGGCCAGTCCCCTTCTGGCTGTGCTGGGTAGAGAGGTACCAGGCTCTGAGGGGTGGCCAGTCCTCTACTGGCTGTACTGGGTAGAGAGGAACCAGGCTCTGAGGGGTGGCCAGTCCTCTACTGGCTGTACTGGGTAGAGAGGAACCAGGCTCTGAGGGGTGGCCAGTCCTCTACTGGCTGTACTGGGTAGAGAGGAACCAGGCTCTGAGGGGTGGCCAGTACCCTTCTGGCTGTGCTGAGGGGAGAGGAACCAGGCTCTGAGGGGTGGCCAGTCCTCTTCTGGCTGTGCTGAGGGGAGAGGAACCAGGCTCTGAGGGGTGGCCAGTCCCCTTCTGGCTGTGCTGAGGGGAGAGGAACCAGGCTCTGAGGGGTGGCCAGTCCTCTACTGGCTGTACTGGGTAGAGAGGAACCAGGCTCTGAGGGGTGGCCAGTCCTCTTCTGGCTGTGCTGAGGGGAGAGGAACCAGGCTCTGAGGGGTGGCCAGTCCTCTTCTGGCTGTGCTGAGGGGAGAGGAACCAGGCTCTGAGGGGTGGCCAGTCCCCTTCTGGCTGTGCTGAGGGGAGAGGAACCAGGCTCTGAGGGGTGGCCAGTCCTCTACTGGCTGTACTGGGTAGAGAGGAACCAGGCTCTGAGGGGTGGCCAGTACCCTTCTGGCTGTGCTGAGGGGAGAGGAACCAGGCTCTGAGGGGTGGCCAGTCCTCTTCTGGCTGTGCTGAGGGGAGAGGAACCAGGCTCTGAGGGGTGGCCAGTCCCCTTCTGGCTGTGCTGAGGGGAGAGGAACCAGGCTCTGAGGGGTGGCCAGTCCCCTTCTGGCTGTGCTGAGGGGAGAGGAACCAGGCTCTGAGGGGTGGCCAGTCCTCTTCTGGCTGTGCTGAGGGGAGAGGAACCAGGCTCTGAGGGGTGGCCAGTCCTCTTCTGGCTGTGCTGAGGGGAGAGGAACCAGGCTCTGAGGGGTGGCCAGTCCTCTTCTGGCTGTGCTGAGGGGAGAGGAACCAGGCTCTGAGGGGTGGCCAGTCCTCTTCTGGCTGTGCCGGGTGGAGATTATAACAGTACATGGCCATTATTAAGGCCAGATCGTTCTTCAAGATGTTCAAACGTTCATAGATGACCAGCAGGGTCAAATTATAATCACAGTGGTTGTAGAGGTTGTGTATACAGTGCATTCGGAAAGTATTCAGACCCCTTTCCTTTTTCCACATTTTGTTACGTTATTCTAAAATTGATTAAATAAAATGTTTTCCTCGTCAATCTACACACAATACCCCATAATGACAAAGCGGAAACAGGTTTTTAGATTTTTTTGCACATGTATAAAAAAAATCAAGAAAAAATAGAGAAAAAGTATTCAGACCCTTTGCTATGTGATCATCCTTGAGATGTTTCTACAACTTGATTGGAGTCCACCTGTGGTAAATTCAATTGATTGGACATGATTTGGAAAGGCACACACCTGTCTATATAAGGTCCCACAGTTGAGAGGAAAAACCAAGCCATGAGGTCAAAGGAATTGTCGGTAGAGCTCCGAGACAGGATTGTGTCGAGGCACAGATCTGGGGAAGGGTACCAAAAAATTTCTGCAGCATTGAAGGTCCCCAGGAACACAGTGGCCTCCATCATTCTTAAATGGAAGAAGTTTGGAACCACCAAGACTCTTCCTAGAGCTGGCCGCCTGGCCAAACTGAGCAATCTGGGGAGAAGGGCCTTGGTCAGGGAGGTGACCAAGAACCCGATGGTCACTCTGACAGAGGTACAGACTTCCTCTGTGGAGATGGGAGAACCTTCCAGAAGGACAACCATCTCTGCAGTACTCCACCAATCAGGCCTTTATGGTAGAGTGGCCAGACGGAAGCCATTCCTCAGTAAAAGGCACATGACAGCCTGCTCAGAGTTTGCCAAAAGGCACCTAAAGGACTCTGGCCATGAGAAACAAGATTCTCTGGTCTGATGAAACCAAGATTGAACTCTTTGGCCTGAATGCCAAGCGTCACATCTGGAGGAAACCTGGCACCATCCCCACAGTGAAGCATGATGGTGGCAGCATCATGCTGTGGGGATGTTTTTCTGCGGCAGGGACTGGGAGACTAGTCAGGATCGAGGGAAAGATGAACACACAGCCAAGACAACTCAGGAGTGTCTTCGGGACAAGTCTCTGAATGTCCTTGAGTGGCCCAGCCAGAGCCCGGACTTGAACCCGATCGAACATCTCTTGAGAGACCTGAAAATAGCTGTGCAGCGACGCTCCCCATCCAACCTGACAGAACTTGAGAGGATCTGCAGAGAAGAATGGGAGAAACTCCCCAAATACAGGTGTGCCAAGCTTGTAGCATCATACCCAAGAAGACTCAAGGTTGTAATCACTGCCAAAGGTGCTTCAACAAAGTACTGAGTAAAGGGCCTGAATGCTTATGTAAATATGATATTTCCGTTTTTTATTTTTAATACATTGCAAAAATGTCCAAAAAAAAATGCTGTGTCATTATGGGGTATTGTGTGTAGATTGATGAGGGGAAAAAAAACAATTTAATCAATTTTAGAATAAGGCTGTAACGTAACATAATGTGGAAGAATTCAAGGGGTCTGAATACTTTCCGTATACACACTATATATACACTATACACACTATATATACACTATACACACTATATATACACTATACACACTATATATACTATACACACTATATACACTATACACACTATATATACTATACACACTATATATACTATACACACTATATACACTATACACACTATATATACACTATATACACTATATACTCAATATACACACTATATAAACTGTACACTATATTCACTATATACACTATACACTATAAACACACTAATCAAATTGTATTTGTCACATGCGCCGAATACAACAGGTGTAGACCTTACAGTGAAATGCTGACTTACAAGCCCTTAACCAACAATGCAGTTTTAAGAAAAGTAAGTGTTAAGTAAACAATAGATAAGTAAAAAATTAAAGAGCAGCTGTAAAATAACAGTAGCGAGGCTATATACAGGGGGTACCGGTACAGAGTCAATGTGAAATAACAGTAGGGAGGCTATATACAGGGGGTACCGGTACCGAGTCAATGTGAAATAACAGTAGGGAGGCTATATACAGGGGGTACCGGTACAGAGTCAATGTGAAATAACATTAGGGAGGCTATATACAGGGGGTACCGGTACCGAGTCAATGTGAAATAACAGTAGGGAGGCTATATACAGGGGGTACCGGTACAGAGGCTATATACAGGGGGGTACCGGTACAGAGTCAATGTGAAATAACAGTAGGGAGGCTATATACAGGGGGTACCGGTACAGAGTCAATGTGAAATAACAGTAGGGAGGCTATATACAGGGGGTACCGGTACCGAGTCAATGTGAAATAACAGTAGGGAGGCTATATACAGGGGGTACCGGTACAGAGTCAATGTGAAATAACATTAGGGAGGCTATATACAGGGGGTACCGGTACCGAGTCAATGTGAAATAACAGTAGGGAGGCTATATACAGGGGGTACCGGTACAGAGGCTATATACAGGGGGTACCGGTACAGAGGCTATATACAGGGGGTACCGGTACAGAGTCAATGTGAAATAACAGTAGAGAGGCTATATACAGGGGGTACCGGTACAGAGTCAATGGGAAATAACAGTAGGGAGGCTATATACAGGGGGTACCGGTTAGTCGAGGTAATTGAGGTAATATGTACATGTATGTAGAGTTATTAAAGTGACTATGCATAGATAATAAACAGAGAGTAGCAGCAGCGTAAAAGAGGGGGGGGGGGGGGGGCAATGCAAATAGTCCGGGTAGCCATTTGATTAGCTGTTCAGGAGTCTTATGGCTTGGGGGGTAGAAGCTGTTTAGAAGCCTCATGGACCTAGACTTGGCGCTCCGGTACCGCTTGCCGTGCGGTAGCAGAGAGAACAGTCTATAGGGTGGCTGGAGTCTTTGACAA